CCTTGTCACACACATTTCTGAGTGTGTGGATTTCATTTAACTTCTGAGATACATTTCTACATTTCATTTTTTTTTTTTTTCGGTACCAGGGCTTGAACTCGGGTCCTTGCACTTGCACAGCAGGCAGCGAAGCCACTGAGCTAAAGCCCCGGCGACTTCTACATTTCATATGCTCTAAGTTCCTATCTTGGGCCAGTCTGTCCATATGAAGAGAAGTAAAGTTTAAGTTTATTTTATGAAATAGAATAATGCTTTTATGGCTCCCATATTTAGATATCTTTTAATTGGCTTGATCTGCCTTGCTTAAGTGCTGTATTTCTTATCATGTTTATATTTTTATTTCTGTACTTGGATTAGTTGATTACACTAAAATCATTCCGTATGTCCTCAATTAAGAAGGTTTGTGAAAGTCTGTTTGAGTAACATTCACCTACTGTAGACACAACATATTAGGCTTTTGGAAATGTGGCTTCAAACATTTAAATGGCACAGTGAGACCAGGCTTTTTTGGGTAACAGGATCGAACTCGGGACCTTGCGCTTGCGAGGCAGGTGGCGGCACCACTGAGCTACATTCCCGGCCTGACGACCAGGCTTCTTACACCTGCCTCTAGCTCCAAACTAGAGGTTGTCACATACTCTAAGGATGTAATAAATGGCACACCTGCTTCCAAGCAGCTCACTGTTCAGTCAGAAGGACAAACCAAAAAAAAATCATAATATGATGTGTCATGGAAACCACATTAAAATTACATATATAATGTTATGAAGGGATAGAAGAATAGTAGTATGTGGTTGTAAGATTCTACCTAGAGCAAAACATTTCATTTTAAGAAAAACCTAGGAGATCATTTCTGTAACCTTGGAGTAGGCAAAGATTTTTCAAATACAATACAAAAGGAGCAGTCACAAGGTAAAAACTTGAATTATAAATTTAAAATTAAGAACTTCTGTTAATCACAAGACACCATTAAGATGATGAAAAGGTAATCCACAGAATAATAGAAAATATTTACAATTCATACATGTAATAAGGTATGTATCTAGAATATATCAAAAACTTGTACACATGAGTAATAAAGACAGACAAGCAATAGAAAAATAGGCTAAGGGCTCCAACAAACAGCTTCACAGAGGAATCTCAAATGGCTCAAGAATATATGAAAAGCTTCAACTTCCTCAGTCACTGGAAAAGCACCAATTAAAGCCACAGAATGGTGTTGCATAGTTGCCAGAATGGCTCAAGTGAAAAGGCATGTGTCACTGTGGACACGGGGCCACCAGGACTTTTAGCATTGCTGGCGAGAGTGGAGATTGATGTAGCCCGGGAGGATCTCCAGCTAAGTTTAGTACATCTGGCCAGATTCCTGTTGTATGCCTCGGCAATTCCACTACTGGATACTTACCCAGAAACTCATAATCTGTTCATCAAAAGATAATGGCCAGTATGTTCAGGGTAGCATTATTAGGGTTTGCTCAGAACTGGAGACGACCAAGTGCTCATCCATAGAAGAAAGGCTAAATAAGTCCTGGTGTATTCTCAAGTCTAATGTGAGGTAGCAGTGTGTGGAAGAGTCTGCAACTTTAGCTGCAAAAATAGGAATGAATTTGTGTTGAGTGGAAGAAATAAGATGCAAAAGAGTACATAATTCTGTTCATATAAAGCATGGAGGGAGACAGGCAAGATAACTCACGCTACTGCAAGTTAGGACATGTTTGTCCTGGCAGTGCTGCAGCTGGGGTAAGCCCGAGGGAGGCTTCCGGGATTCTAGTGTCGACCCATTCTTTGCCTGAAGCTTGCCTATTTGTGTGTTATAAAATTGATTAATTGTATATATCCTCTGTGTGCACTCGTTGGAAAATGTCTTCTACTCTACAAACTGCTTTTTAAAAAATCTGGAGCTGGGGCCGGGGTACAGTTGGATGGTAGAGTGCTTGTCTGGAGTGCACGAGGCCGTGAGTTCAGTGTGGCCTCCTCACACTGCAGGGGGTTAAGATAAAAGGCCGGGAGCTGGTCATGGTGTTGCACGCCCATAGTCCCAGCCACTGGAGGGACTATGAGTGCAAGCATCCCTTGAGCTCAGGAGTTCAAGACCCGCTAGACCACACAATAAGACCACATCTCAAAATAAAAAAAGAAAACAGATCCTTGTGTCTTGGTTAAAGACAGGAAGAGAGAAGTTATATGCTAGCAGTTATCATCTTTACTCATGGGACTGCAAATAAATATTATCCCTTTTCCCCCTACTGTTCTGAGTATTTAAGGCCTTCTTCTGTTTATATGAGTTTTATAAGATAGAAAAATAAATGAGTTTAAATAAATGCACATATTGAGTGTGTGTGTGTGTGTGTGTGTGTATGTGTAATATCACCAAGATATCAAAACCCTGCAAAGAATGAGTGGATTGTACATTTTGGTAGCCAAATCTGATGGAGAGGAGATGAGAATACTTTAGGCCAGTTGTCTGTAGAGAGCATATTCACTTTATTTGATCTGCAGTTTACTTTTGTGTCAAATAGTATTTTTTTTTTTTTTTTGGTACCAGGGATTGAACTTGGGACCTTGTGCTTGTGGGGCAGGCAGCAGAACCACTGAGCTAAGTCCCCAGCCTTCAAATAGTATTCTTTCTTGTATTTATCTTTCATGTTACCCCTTTTTTATTAGTATGTTTGCAATTCATAGTAAATTTTTGTGTCGTGGGGAATTGGTATACGTACACATCACATCTTCATCCTTCTCACTGCCCCTTCCCCAGTGGTATTCTGATACCTGCCTTGCTTGGGACAGGAGTTGGAAGTAGCATCCACACTCTTCGTGAGCTCACAAGCACGGTGGCCAGGGTGGTGGCCTCCTCAGGAAGGAGGTGCCTCTGAACCCAGGAGCCGGGTCGATGTCTTTCTCTCTTGCTGGGTGATTCATAGCCGATGAACCAGCTGTCCACCGTGTTACCAAGGAGCAGAAGAATGAATCTCTCGCCATCTCCACAAACAAAAGAGAAATGAGGCAAAGAAACAAGTAACACCACCATGAAAGCAACTCGTGTGTGTGTGTGTGTGTGCGCGCACGTGCATGCATATGCACCCTCCACACATGATACACACAAAGCACCCTGTAAGGCCCTGGCACACAATGAGTGTCTGGAAGTGATAGGTGCCATTACTGCTGCTGTCACAGGGAGAATTCCTTATCCTGTCTAGGCCCTTCTACCTTGGGTTTTGGAAGAGTGGGATAATGAGCTTCTGTCTTCCTTATCCCACTACAGAAGACAGTGTGTAACTTCCTGTACTGCTGAGGTCAGAGGAGCTTACCTCCTCGGTTCCTGGTGAATCTGGCACTAGTAAGGGCTCCTTCTGTGCTAGTTCTCCTGCAGTTCATTGAGGTTAAGCACATGTGTTGGTTTCCATTTCCTTCCCTCCCTTCTCCCTGTCTGTCTTTAAAATCCGGGGAGCATCTTCATGTGCGGCACTTCTCAGTTTGGTTTGGGAAGGCCGGCCATGGCCCCATGTGGCTGGAGGCGGCTGTGTTGGGCAGTACCGTCGGAAGCAGCTCTGGCCACATGTTCCTCCCTGTGCTGGAAGAGTTAGTTACTCCAAGACTGGCCTGCAGGAAGGTGGCAGCCTAGGTACAGCTGCAGGTCTCATCTGTGCTCTGCACTCCAGAATGCACACAGGGTCACTCATCCCATTGCCCTGCTTTCTGTCTGTAATCTCATCGGGTCGTTGCTTGTTTTAATAAATCAAGTTCAGTTGTAAATCACAGAAAGTATTCTAGCTATTGTAAAGAGAAAGGTTTTTTTTTGTGTTTCTAATGGCATATCAAGGACTCAAAAAATCAAAAGGATGTAGGCTTCAGGAGTGTTGGTAACAATAATTTCTAAAGTGCAGAGCAGGATTTCAGCATTTGATTCCCGTGGGGGCGCAGGCTGGGTGGGAAGCTGGGAATGAGCTTGGCTGTGGTGTTACACTGACTGTGCCAAGAGGGGTGCCAGCAGCGTAGATGTTCAACCTTCTGCTGCCGCAACTGGAAAACACACACCAGAAATGTAAATATTCGTCCTGTCAGTAGAAAAACCAGGAATGGCAGAATTCTGGTCCCCACTATAGTTTTCCTCCGGGAATCTGAAGGAAACCAGGTTGTGTGGCGCGCCCACTGGAAGGGAGTCCAGGAAGTGTGTTCTCCAGCTTTGTACTTTGCAGTGGCAGGCACAGGTAAGCCCAGAAGGGGTGCTGCCTGAAAGGCACGTCAACCTTGGACAGTTACTTTTTTGGATGATTGCCCTTAGTACCAGAAGTTTAACATGATTTTTCCTTTATTAATATGTCGTCCATTTTCTAGGTGGTTTTGTAATTAAGCTCTTATATATAATATTACATTTAAGATAGTGCAAGGTCAAAAACTCATTAGAAACCACACGTGGGTTTTTTGGTTGTTTTTTTCATGTTAAAAGCAGTTTAGAATAAATACAGGCAGCCACAAGCAACGAGGGATTGGATAAATTGTAAGAACGGGTTAACATAGCTGATATATGTTACCCTTTAGAAATAAGAATAAAATAGAGATTTATGCAGGTGTCCTCAGATGAGAGCTTCATTTTCTGTTGCTGTGAACTCTGCAGCTTTAAAACAATACAGTTGATTATTTTACAAAAGTTGCCCGCAGGCCAGAAGTCAGGTGGGCTTGGCGTGGTCTCTCTCAGAGCCTCCCAGGGCCGGAGCGCAGATGAGCAAAGGCTGTGCTGGCTTGCAGAGGTGGGCTGCTTACTGTGCTGCTCGCTTGAGTGAAGCCGTGCTCAGAGGCCTCGTGGCTGTGGGCTGACACCCCGCCCACGTTACCCTGCTGGGTGTCGCCTGAGGTCAAGTCAGGCCAAAAAACAGTGGTCTTTTATATTTCCCTGTCTTCTTGTCTGTCATCTGGTCATTCTAGGCAGTCACAGGGTCCCTCTCTGCTCTTTACTTATCCTTGCACGTTTTTGTGCTTTCCTTCTTTCTTTGTCACCGGAGGCTGAGCCAGGTTTCCCAGGCAGTGGCTCGGCTGACCTGTTGAGCTGGACAACCGCTGCCACCATGAAAGTCCTTTCCAACACCACGACCACCACCAGGGCGGTGCTGCAGGCTGTGAGCGACAGGCAGTGGTGGAAGAAGTCTCTGACTTACCTGCGCCCCCTCCAGGTAAGCCGGGCACCCCAATCTTAAAGCCAGCCCTCTGGCTAATGTCAGTTCTTAGCACTGCCACGGCTTTGATGATTAAAATGATCTCTGGGGAGACCTAGGCCTCCTGTAGGATTAGAAAGGAGCCATCTCTTTCACAGAGTGAAACACACCCACAGAGTAACTGCAAAGAACACTGGCGCACATTCCAGTGAGGTTTGCTGCATAGGTAAGAGGTAAGATTTAGTGAGATGAAAAAGAAAATGCTTACTTGATTTTGCTGTATTTCTTCCGGCTCATAGCTGGGGGAGAGTGAGGAGCCAGCTTGGGGTGGTGTATCAGACCCTGCTTCCACTCTGGAAGGGGAGATGAGGAGCAGCGTAGAGCAACTGCGTTTGCTCAGAGGGTCACCTCAACTCTTGGTTTCCCTGCCGTCTTCTCTGCACTCTGACACTGCAGGCCTTTAATCTCATGTTAGAAAACAAAAGGGGAAAGCTGTGTACCTGTTTATGTTTATCCCAAACACTCGTGGAGTTTCCCATCCATCCACCCGTCTGTCCCGTCTGTCTGTCCATCTATCCGTCCCTCTCTGTGGGCTAGATGCTGTTCTCCATGGAGTGAACACTTCCGTTTAATTCTCTTCCTGTGTGGAACTTGCATTTCACTGGTGGAGACAAAGAAAAGCATCTGGTGCTGCAGGTGGTAGCGAGGGCTATGAGGACGGGTGACGCAAGTAGGTGAACCCCAAGTGATGCTGGAGAATGGAGCTGAGTGGCAGAGAAGTTAGGCTCCTCAGAAAAGTACCACTTTGGGCAGAAATGTGATTGAGAGGAGGTGAAAAGTACAGAGCCCTCCGGGGCACACGTTTGATGTCTTGTAGAACATAAAGTAATCAAGTGTGGTTTGAGCAGCGTGAGCAGGCAGGAGGAGTGTGGGGAACAAGAGCAGAGTGGGTGTGTGTGGAACCCCAGCCCTGAAAGCGCCATGTGGACTCCGGCGTGACGCAGCTGGGTGGCTCTGGGGACGTAGGAGTGCGGCGTGCGCTCGACTAGGCTTGTTGCGAGGGGCGCTGCTGACAGGAGTGAGGGGAGACTCAGGCTCATTCCCCGGGGAGTAGCTCTGAGCAGCGAGGGGGGAGTGGCGGTCTGGGGCTCTGCTGCTGTGTGCCCCTGCTGGTGTTCTCTGCGTGGACAAATGGGAGAGGAGGTCTGGGTGTGGGCCTCACAGTTGGGTAAATGGAGGTGCTGTCTCCTGAGCTGCTGTGTGCTTCAATTTGGGGTAGATTTGTGCATCTCTTGTCACTTGACACTTTGCACTGGATTATGATCATTTTCCTTTTCCCCCTGTTGGATGTTTTAAGGGTTTCAGTCTTGGGTAAAATTTTAACACTGTACCCATTTGTCTTCATTACTTTTTCATTGCTGGGACAAAATACCCAATACCTACAAGTTAAAGAACAAAAGTTTTATTTGGGCTCACAGTTTGCAGAGGTTCCTATCCATGGTCGGGGCACCAGATGAGCATTGCAGAGAGGAGACAGCTCAGGACATGGTGCAGAAGCAGAAGTCTCGGGGAGCGGGAAGGAGATAGATATCCATGAACACATACCTACCTGTATGTGGCTGTCTTCAGGCTGTGCCCACAGTACCGCCTCTTCCCCTGGGCTCCACCTCCTAACGTCACACCCTGCTGTAAACCCATCAGTCGACCGGTCCAGCATCACACACTGGGTTCCAGTCTCCTCCCCAAAGTCCGTCCATGAGCACAGGAGGCTCTTGGGGGATATCTGGATATGAGTCCTGACACTAAGCCGCGGCATTTATTAAACATCAGCTGTCATTGTTAGCAGCAGCAGCAGCAGCAGCTTCACTGTTTGTCTAGATTGTCCTTGGCAGGAAGTAATCGTGCAGTCACCTGGAGGAACGCCTTACTTGGTTCTGCCCGTGGGGAACCTTAGAGTCTGTCTGAGGCGAGCAGAGGATGGTAATGAACTCTCCTAGGGAGACTACCGGGGTCACTCATCCGGGCTGCTGAGAACAAATCCCCAGAGTGTATGTGGCGAGGGTGGCTGTGCAGGGGTTGGGAGGACAGAAGGAGCGTGGCTGTGCTCTCGCTGCGGTCAGGTCAGGCTTGAGCCGTGGGTCCGAGTGATCTCCCCAGGCAGCCGGGCTGGCTTGGACCGTAGGCCTGGGAAGGGCAGAGTCCCAGGACGCTGAGGCAGGTTGGCGTGGGTGGGGTGGAGAGGTGGCCTGCGGTGCCGATTAACATCTCACACCCTCAGGTGTTACTCCACATGCTCTTTGCCGTTTTTCCAGCGGGGCAGCAACGTGCATAGAATGACACTTTGGGATAGTGGTCCCGTCTGTGATGCGGAAGACCTGCTTTGTGTGTGACACTGATTGTGTGATGTTTCTGACTAGCTGAGGTCAGAGTGACCAGCAGACCAGCGGCACTGGCGCCCGGTCGCAGTGCTGCCTTCAGGATCCGGCTGTCAGGCTTCTGTCCTCTGCCGGGACACTCTCTCCAGTCTCAGAAGCAATCAGGTTTCTCCTGACGTCACCCTTCCCTCTCTCCCCCTCGTCCTTTTTACCCCTGTTCTTCACTCTGTTTTGTTTAGGGGCAAGAATTTGGAGGCTCTCATCAAGATGGGGCTGTAGCCAGTGAAGACCTACAAAAACAAGGGTGTCACCCTTTTGATGGATCAGTCATCTCGAATCCCTTTGTCCCTGAGGTAAGGACAGTGTACCTCAAAGACAGGCCTCCCTGTCATGCTATTGTGCAGTGTAAGGAAAAACTAAAATTTCTCTGCACATGGACCTCTTAGGCTCAGTTCTTGCTCATGGTATTCATCAGTTTTATGTGGATGGTTTCATACATATGATGACATGTTATGAGATGCAAGTCCTTTGAAATGCTACCTAAAATGGTATGCATTGGTGAGAAGTTACTATTCAAGTCACCAGAAGCCGTAGCATCCTACAATTGTGTTTTCTGAGAACATGTTCCTTAAAAAGACACCCTTTTAGGACAAGGTCCCAAGTTTGATCCCCAGTACCAAAAAAAAAAAGCCACGCTGTTAAAAGGTAGAACTTGCTTTTGTCCAGTCTGGCGTGACCTGCGACCCCTGTCAGCCTGTCCCCGTGGAGAGCCTTGCAGAGCTGTTGCTGAGGACTGGGAAACTGGCAGAGGCTGGGACGGAAGGGCAGGCAGTGTTGCCAACCACGGAAGGTGAGTATGGTGGCCCCCATTCCTGGCGGAGGAACGGCATGTGGAGAGCAGTGAGAACGCGTGGGCCGGGAAGGCAGTGATGACGTTCCCCTAGCTTCCAGCTGCCCGACTTGACACCGCCATTCGTTCCTCTATTCATTTAGAGCGTTTATTGAGCACCTGTGGTTTTCTGGACGCCTACATCGAAGACTTAAAAGGATACATAAGCTATAATTCTTAGCTTTAAATTTCTAACTGTGTAAAGTGATTCCCCTAGCGAATGATAAAGTACTCAATACCTATTTATGTCTTTGCTACTTTTATGCTTAATTACAGATCTGCATTTGATTTTAGAATTTTCTTTTGTAGTTGTTGTTAGGTTTTTTCAGACAAAGTTTCGCTGTGTAGTGGTAGCTGGCCTTGAACTCCCTGTAACCCTTCTGTCTCAGCCTCCCAAGAGCTGGGATGACAGATGTGCAGCACCATGCCAGGCTGATTTTAAAATTTTCCTGTGCGGTGGCATAGCTTTAAATGTAGAGTTCTTGGTGAAGAGGGAAATGCTTACAAGTTTACCCAAGACAGCTTGCTATTTGTGCTTTTTACCCCTTAGCATCTTTATTTCTCTTCAGGGTCCCAGGGTAGATCCCTTGACTTTATTCTTTCCTCTAGCTCTCTCTACCCCTGCCCCCCTAGTGAGCAGCTCATGATTCAAAGGTTGCTGGAGCCCTGGCCATCTGGTCTGTATCGCGGCTGTGGAGGGGCAGTTTTCTTGGAAGTCCTGTCTGTCACTCCTCTTCACGTATTCCTGTCCCTGCTCACTGCTGGTTCACTGGGACAGTGCTAGCCAGGCTACCTGAGCAACTGCTGCATGGGGTAATGGCAGAAAAATATATGTGGGCAGTAGAACTGCCATTTTCCCCCCAAATTGATGCCATGACTTTTTTTTGATAATTATTTTCTTTAATCACTACTTTCATACAGGAGGAGGGGAGGTAAATACTACTTCCCCATTTAGTATGTGGAGGGTTTTTTTTTTTGGCTTTGTTTTGTTTTTTACCCACTATACCATTTTTCTTTGTTTCTAAAGTACATATTTTCCTACTTCTTAATCTTTAACTTCACAGTTTTGAGTATGTTTATTATTTCTCCGAAAGGCTGTTGTTTAATTCACGGTAGGTTTTACTGTTGACTCTATATGGAGATTGTGGTAACATTATTCTTGCTCCACTTAATTATTCTTCATTGCTTCTTGCTTTTCTCTTTATCATCCTAAACCATGTGTTAACGGTTAGCAGAGAAGTCTGCACAGAGAGAACCCGAGACCCTCAGGGAGGGCAGCACTGGGTGTGCGTATGTCGCCGTGATTGGTGTTGTAATGGGCTGAACAATAACTAGGATGTTCGCACACGTTGGTTCACCATTTGGTTTTCGTTTCTTTATTTAGCTTGCTGGTTACATGCATGTGAATTTGAGAATCTCACAAAAGGTAAACCAAAAAACAAACAAATGGAACCAAATGACGAAAGGTCTGAAAGTCCAAGGCTGTCTTCAGCCGATTGCTGTGTGCTAAGAAGTGTCTGCTGCTTGGCAGAGGTGTTTTGAGAGCTGTTCAGAGTACGGAAGCAGAAGGTTTGGCCTCACTCAGGGCTTCTGCCAGGACAGAGGCGCAGTCAGGAAGGCTCTGGAGCTGGCAATCAGCATGGCAAGGCAGTGCTCCCAGGCAGGTGGCTGGCTCACTGTGGGAAGTGGCTAGCACCCAGAGGGCAGCCACCCCAGGGTGTCAAAGTGTGATCAGTACAGAAAGCAAAAATGTAGCCAAAGCATCGGTGTGGCTGTTGCTGATTTGTGTCAGAGCGATGGCTTTCAGTGCCTCGTGAGAGGAATGGCCCCCTGATACCTCCAAGGACAAGTTTCCTCATGACTTTGAGCTCACAGAAATCAATTGTGTGTTTCCTCCTTTCTCTTTGGGCTCGGAATGGCTTTAATTATATATATCAAACATATTAGTGACTATTCTGTGAGTAGCGTCTATGATCTAGTATGACTGTTGTAAAAATAAGCCTGTTGTAACTTAGTAGCAGCTAAAGACCTTCCCAGGGGACATGTCCCTGGGCTGGCGTCTCTCCTCAGTCTGTCATCATTGCCCTTTTGGTTGGTTTTGTTTTCTGTAGCATTATTTCTGTGTGGCATTTGTTTCAAGTCTGTAGCATATTTTTCAGGATATCTTTGGTAGTAGCATATTTTCATCCCTTGAGGGTGCCTTGTTTTTTGGAAACAGCCTGATGCACAATAAATAAGGAGAAGATTGAGTTGATGTTAAGAAAAAAAAGATGGGACCGAAGATTGTCAATGATTGGGCTTCGTTTCCCAGGTGGGCCCCAGGTTCGCTCTGTCCACAGCTACACAAAGGAAAGTCCTGCAGTAGCTGGAGAACTCATAGCTCCTGAGGGATTCCTTTCGGGAGAGAGCGATACTTTTGATGAGTGGCTTCAGATATGCTTGTTTGAAAATTGGCCTCTTTTGTACATAATGAAGGGAAATTTCTGAAGAAAATTAAGATGGATGTGAAAAATGACTAGGTGAGATTGCAGTTGAAGGTCATGTTATGAAAACTAAGAAAGAAATTGGGTGGAGGAATTATCAGTGTGTGAAACAGCTGGATTTTCCTCTCACAGTGGGGGCTGAAAGGACTGCCAGACATGGGTCTGGTGGTGGAATACCAGCGGCAAATGGCAGCCGTGGGGGGGTGTGAGGGCTTTGTATGGTATGCAATTCTACAGGTTATTCTTACCCAAGCAGTCCAGGACCTCTAGCAGACTAAGTTTACCTCGTTTTTCTTGCTTTATCTTCTGTTATCCAAAATTCACAGCTTAACCCTTCCATCCTTCAGTTTTCAGTAGTCTTCAAGGGTATGTTCACCAGTCTTATACTTCTTTGTTCCCATAATTGCTTGTACAAAATTTGTTTTGGGTCCTTTGTACTGTATTTTCAAATCATCTGTTTGGAGATTTTCTCTTGTCCTAACCCATTCATTCCTGAATTCATTCTCTGAGTCTTACCTTATGGTAATGTCTAGTTCAGAGTTTTTCACTGATCTTGAGTGAATTAGGAAATGATCTTGGAAATGAATGGTTGATTGGAAAATGTCTCTCAAACTACACAGTTTCTTGGGAGACCTGATTGGTCATCCGTTTAGTTCACAACATTTGGAGCACACACAAGAAATGGATATTTAGAGAAGCACAGTGGAGAACACTCGTGTTTTGTCCTGTGAATCATCCACAGAGACCCTTGACTTCTAGCCCAGCTTCTAGCACCTCACCCATACACAGGTTGCTCCTTGTGTCCTATTATGTCTTAGTTACTTTTTTCTTGTTGCTGAGGCAAAATACCCAACACCCAAAGTTAAAGGAGGAGAGGTTTACTTAGCTCACATTTTGTAGAGGTTTCAGTCCATAATTGGCTGGCTCCTGGCAGACAGGCATCATAGAGGAGAAACAGTTCATGGCAGGCAGAAGGTAGCAAACCAACAAGGGACGACCACAGCTCTTTCTGGCCCTTTTATCTTATCCAGGCTACTTAGCACTCACACCCTTAATCCTAGTACCCTTGATCCTTGCATTGCCCAATGAATCAATCCCAGCATCACACACTCTAGATCCAGCCATCTCTGAAACGGCCCCACCTATGACTGCAGGAGGCTTTGGAGGGACATCTAGTATGAGCCGTAACACACCATCTCCACCAGTGGTGGCAAACCTATAGCATGCATGCCATGCTGGGCTGTTTGTATCATCAAAAACTCTGAAAGGTTCTCCATCACTGGCATAGATTATTGGCTATCCTAAGATTATGCAAATGACTTAAATACTCATCCAACTAAGGGAAATCTGGGAAAAATCATGTATATTTTCACAGTCAAATATCATTTATTTTGGATGATTTATGTACCACTCTCCTTCAGTACATATCATGGGAGTCTGTGTTTTAAAAATAAAGGTTTTACATTGTGCTTACCCATGAGCACCTGGCATTTTTTCACTAAAGTCCTAAGTGAATAGAATGCTTGCATATTAAACCGTGTACAAACATGGACTTTATTGGCAATGTGCTCTCCTTTATTAAAACCATGGCATTGGTAAGTTTCCACTCATATAAACATTGTGTAGAAAAGTTGTTAAGGGGTGGGATAGTTTAAGACGAGCAGAACAAAAGACTGATTTGATTTTTTGGAGTGTGCTGGAGAGGGTTGTCCTTGGAGAGCAAAATCATGTAATCGGTGTAATAAGAGACTCAGCCTGCATTTGGCTCTGATTTTAGGACTCCAGTACTTGTGTGACTGACCACCTTTCATACAGGCTGTTACAACATGCAGAATTTTACCATGTGGCCTGGCCCCTTAACTCCAAAAGGCCCAGCTCCCGGGACCCTTGGTGACCCCTTTCCCCTGGGTCACAGCTGCCCCGGCAGGTTCCTCCTGCGCAAGCGTTGCAGGCGCACTGCTCCCCTGCTCAAGCAGGGCTGCTATTGAATGCAGGTTATGCAATCTGTGTTTAGATGGCGCCAAGCAGATTTCAATGAAAGGTCTTGAAAACCCTCCAGAGATTGAAATCACATAGAGCAGAGCTGGAAACATGGCGGTCCATGTGAATGTCCTATGGTGTTCACACAGAATAATGCTCCCCCTGCATTCAGTTCTCTTGCAGCTGGCAAGTGACGCTTTGCCCGGTGACGTGACCTTGGCCCTTGCCTACCTCCTCTCCTTGCCACAGGTAAGTTGGTCTTTGGGTGTGAGGGGCTCTAAATAAACCAGAGGACCTGTGCTGGGGACTTCTTGGTACAATTGTTTATTAGGGTGTCATCTGCTCCCGAGAGCTCATAGGAGCTGAAAGGACCTCTCAGCGACCACAGAGGGGATCCTACAGCGTTAGCACACACGCCTGTCATTAAATCCGTGTTTCCCTTGGAGCACCTGCCTGATGGTGTCTTCTGAATTGTCATGTCTCCATGTTAAGCGGGGCTTGAGCTTGGGTTGATGTGATAGAGCCTCGTGTCACAATGCTGAGGTAACCACAAGGAACGAGGTGCCTCTTGCTCATTTCTTTCACCTGCATTACTGACATCCTGCTCCTTTCTAGGTATTAGACGCGAACAGATGCTTTGAGAAGCAGTCACACTCAGCATTGTCTCTCCAGCTGGCAGTGTATTACTACAGCTTGCAGATCTATGCCCGCCTGGCACCATGCTCCAGGGACAACTGCCACCCAGTGTACAGAGTGAGTCCTGCTGCTCTGCCTTACTCAGGAGTGGAGTCTGGGTTCGTCCATGTCCTCTCCGTAACCAGAACGCATCCCATGTGGCACAAGATGTCACTGCTTTTCCATCTGTCAGTAGCAAGTAGAGTTTCTTATATTTACTGTGACTGTGACTCTTCCCCCAGCTTTTCTTTTGCTTACTTTATTTTACCAAGTTCTTAGCAAAGGCTAACACAGCAGGAGAGGCTAAATGGAGGATTGATGTTTTAATTTGCTACCCAATAAGAGGATGGTTGTCTTAATTCTGGGAAGGGGACAAAGTGATTCTTTGAGAATTCTGCACTTTATTTTTAAGCCAGAGATACAAAAGTAATTTAGAGATGGAATGTTGGAACATAGCTTGCTTGCTACTGCCACAAGATTCCCACAGGTTTCATCATGTATCTTTATTGTTAACTTATTTTTAAAATTTTTTTTATTTATATACTATTTGGTACATTTTAGTATACAATTCGTTTACGTTTATCATCGGGTGCTTGTACCTGTACATGATGTATCTTGGTTCTTATTTTTTTACCCTTCCCTATTTACA